GAATGCAGTTTGTGTTTTTGTTGCTACGTCAGACACATTTTGAGTAGTGGCCAGGAAACACGTTTGCCAGTTTGCTGAGTTTCGTTGATGGAACAGTTTGGACATTGTGCAGATTTTTCTTCGTTTTTTGAGGTTGGTGGTTTTACGACTTTTTTGTGAAGGAAACGCCGCCGCCCAATACAGGCATGAAAATATGATGTTTTATAGTTTATTACTTTTTATGGCGTATAAATCTCATGCCGAATGCCAGGCACTCTTCCTTTCCGCCCATCGGATCTGGAGAGTTCTTCTCTTCTTTTGTAATGCTAACAATGTACGAATCATTACAACTCCGATCATAATGTTAACGAGCTATGTGGCATACCGGCTATCCTCATGGTAATGACGTCCACGATGACGATGATGAGATGACGGCGAGGATAATGCTGTTGATGACAGTTGTTTTTGGCATGTGTTTAAGAATTTTAACAAACATTGAATGCCAACAGACCAACCGGCCGAAAGGTGGCTACGCTCGTTTGTTTGTTTGTTGGCTGGACACAAAAAAGGACATTGTCGTTGTGGACATGATATTGGAATGTTTGCTGCACTGTTCTGTGGTGCATACGTAATGGGTTTACGTGTTCAGACCTAATATTCTTAACTACCAACACTGCATATATTCTGGTGGTGCTGGTGGCGGAGGTGCAAGATTGTGATTGCACATTTCCGGTTTCAGGGGAATTTGACTGAATCAACATTCAGAATAGTTGGCATTTTTAACTAACACTTAATGTGAAAATGAGCGGGACGGAGGGAGGGAGGAATCGGTATAATGTTTTTTTTATTATTATTGACACCCTTCTATCTATCTACAGATCTTAATTCCACAGATATCGATAATTACTTGAATACCATATCGGACAAATAATATTTAATTTAAAAGTATTTTCCAACCTTAGCCTCGATTGTTATCAGTATTTAGTTTCTATTACATTGTCTTAACACATATTTATCACCTGCTGCAATGCTTCTTCCTTTGATATGGTGAAGCCCCCCCCAACTGATTTGATTTTCCACATGAGCATATAATCCGAACACAAATAATGATATAAACAACATAGCAAATATTAGAAATTAATTTTGAGTTTATCGATAGTGTGATGAAATGTAAAATGGCTTAAATGACAAACGATAGAAAATCAAGAATAATTATTATTTGTAAAGTGGAGAACTCACAAATCCATACAAATTCGATGGTATTGACTTTTATATGAACAATGTTTTTTGTATTATAGCGTTTCTTTTTTATTAAGAAAATAACTAGTTTTTGTTTAATGTATAAAGATAATTCTTTTATAAATTATTATTTATAATTTTGAGTTAAAACATCCGGACGAATAAACCACGTAGACTATCAACATTTAAACGTTTTTTTTTGTAATTCTGTAAAACCCCCATTACCGAACGTCTAATTGAAATCGTGGTTTCTATATTTATAATTCTCACGTGGCTAGTGGCGCCTTCATAAACTCCATTGTAATTATTTCATTTTGAAAAGAAAAAACACATTGCGATAATATTGGTTGGCATCGTCAATTTGTTGAAATACAGCAACACCATTACAACATTTTGTGTTGCTAATACAATACTAAAATGTATAATATATAAATATATAATCATAAAATAAATATATGTATATTTAAATGAAATTCAATGAACATCTTGATCAAGATTCTAAAAACAAAAATTAATATTCCTAATACAACTGAATACTGCTTCGTTTTAGAATTATTTTTATTCCAATGTCTTCAGTTATATCAATAACAAAGTGAATGACAATAATGGAGTTCATATTGATATCTCCTTAAAAATATGTCAGTGTGACAGGGTCTTTACAACGCTACATAATTGCATTTTATTGTAAGTTTTCAAGTATTTGCAACAACTCTCTTCAAGGTTAGAAGACGAAGAAGAACAAAATAAATTGCTTTACAGTGTTCAGTGGATATTAAATTGAGGCTACAAAATATGTTGTGTTGATTATTGTAGAAACGTTTTCTATACTTTTAGAAATATATATATCTATATATATATAAAAATGAAAATAAAACTCGAGAACGGCTGAACGGATTTTTCTGATCGTAGTCTTGAAATGTGAAAATCGTAAAAATATGATGAAACATTTTGCTTCTTAATATTTATTAAATATCGAGCTACTTTGATTGCACCACGTCGTAGTTCTTATTTTGAGGTATTTTGGGCCAGAATTGGTAGGGTATTATTCCTTTTAGCCATCATTTGTCAATTATTGAAAATTGTATAGAAACTTTTTTGTGAGAATGCAAAAAAAAAATGAGAAGTCTATTGTGAATGTTGAAACACTGGACCAAACTGCCAAACATACGAATATTGTGCGTAACGCTATATGGGAGCTGCCTCAAAGAGTATACCAATATTGACAATTTTAGTATGATTCATTCTACCATATAAAACAACCAAATACCAAATTAGAGACGGTTACCTTTAAAAACGTGCTCAAATCCCCCACATTATCCAAAAAGGTGAAGTATTATTATATGGGGGACATTTGGATGCTTGGGCAAATATGAAATTACAGCCAAATATCGAATATTAAGGGATACCGTTATATGGGGATATACGAATACTTAAATCAATATTGAAAATTTTAATTAAGGAGATTTTCTTGAATATCGTTATATTCAACCCCCATATAACGGTATCGTTATATGGGGGCTACCCTTAAAGTGGACCAAAAATTGAACATTTTCAATACCAAATATCTTATGAGTAGTAGAAATGTATAAGCAAATTTCAAAATTCTTTCTTAAACCGTATAGAGAGAGCAACAAAATTCGATCATAAACATCCAATTGTGGATATTCAGTTTTGTAATGTTACTTTATGTGTGCTCTGACAAATATTTATGGTGGAGGGTATAAAAACAAACCTAAAATACCACAAATTATACATCAATAATATTGCTAGACAGCGTTTGCCGGGCCCACTAGTATATATATATATATTTATATATAGAAAATTGAATTACTGACGTATCACATAGTGTATCTGTTTGATATATGTGGCGTACAGATTTCGGAAAAAGTCCTTATAATTCATACATGGAATGGTCGTCTTTATTTCTATTTGAAATAAAATTCGCTGTCAGGTTTTCCACTTATCTGAATAATAAAGATTGACAGGTGATACTGAACCTCCCAGTTTCACTTTAGTCACAAGATTCTGCTGCCATAACTTCATAATGGCTAACCCAGATAACGCCAACGATTTGTTCTTTAAAATCGTAAATTTATTTTTAATATTTAAATATATTACTAATAAATAATTATTTTTTTAAAAGGACGATGACGGCAAGAGAGTTAAGGCATACATCATTCTAGTTCGTTCATTATTCACTTATCAATCACAAGAAATTGTCCGGGTAGTATCCCCTCCTATATTCACATTGGTCACGAGGCCATATTTTATTGTTGTCCGCGTTGAATTCGAAATGTTATTTTAAATACCTAGAAATTGACCTGATGCAATTATGGCTAACTTGATGAGTCTCTAGGTTTTTCTTTGTGCTAACAAATTAATAATTACAATTTACAATTTCTTCATATTTTTCAAACTTATCAGGTAAACCTGTCACTTACATACCTAGCTGACTGTTCAGACGTTTGCAAAAAAAAAAATCTATTGCAGTTTGTTTTGGTTATCAGTGGCGCTTTCTGGGTAACATTGTTTTAAACAATCGACAAATAAGTAAACAACAATAACAACTATATTTGTTTGTTTTATAATAACTTTTTGTTATTTAACCCTTGTAATTTCAAATGTTTAGAAATTTTTTACAATGCAAATGTAAATTGAGTGGTAGAGGAAAAAACAACAACAACTACAAAACCACAATATATGTATCTCGTATTGCAACTGGGTTCAGACGAACAACTCTCCCATTTTTTTATTTTTTGGAATTTTCAATTATTTACTTGTTCCTCCCTTTTTAGCTGTATCTTGGTGTTGTAATGTCTTACAAAAGTTTAATTTCCCTATGATTCTTAGTAAGCTTTGGAAATTATGGCCAATAAAACTTCAATTTTATAAAAAAAAAAACTAAACTGGGCATTGTAATTGTTTTTGTAGGGCGGGGTTCCGCTATAACTTTATCGCCATGTCAGGGGAAAGTGTTTATGACATTTTGTAAAGGCCTACAAATATCATTTTGCTTTTCTATCTATAACAAGGTGTTCACATTCAAGCTGGGTGACAAAATAATTTCTCTTGTATAACTTGTCTGCCAGCGGTAAAGTTATATTTCTAGGAAAATTATAAATGTATAAACGATAAAGTTTTAAATCCATAAAGATTTAAATGGGTCATTGCGTATAAATTTATACACAATACTAGAAGGAAATGAATGTGGACTTTATTCTTCAAAACGCTTGCAGATGACGCTAAAAATATAGAAAACCTGAAGTTCTCTTGCACACCCACTTTGTCAAAAACTCCATTCGCAATTTAGCAGCTAATAATGCTGGCAGTGTCAATAAAATCCCAAACCCGCACTTTTGTTAACAACACCCGTAACAGTTTCATACATCTCTAAAATCTCTAACTTCTATTCTATTATTTCGTGCATAGACAATGCAGTTTGCTATGCTCATTTATGCACCGCAATGTAACAACGGAGTTATAAAATTGCCACAAACCAATTATCCAAACCTGTATATGATGGTGCCAGACTGGCGTCTGAATAGTCATACGGGCTGGATTGGTGAATGGAAAGTGTAAAACGTGCTGGTGATTACATCCCCAATATTGGCAATAGATGTCTAAAGGTGTTGATAGACTCAAGGGGATGATTGTCAAAGTATTGTAAAATAAAATAAATTATTTTGCTATTATCTAAAATTTTCATTTGTCGATTCGCTGTTATATATTTTTTTATCTATTTAATAATTTATTTGTTTTTCTATTTTTTTTTATCATTGCAGAAATGGGAACTATTCGTTCTTAGTCGTTTGGGCTGGGATTTGTCATGTGTCACACCACTGGACTTCTTGGAATTGTTGCTGATACGTTTGCCCATCAGAAGTGCTGACTATCCCGATTTGGATGTGGACAAAGTGCGACAACATGCCCAGGCGTTCATATCGTTAGCAGCCAAAGGTATGTTCATTTGCCGATCACCACCAACCACTGTCTGCCTGCTTGGGCCACATTTACTCTTGCTATTACCACTTGACGAAGAAAGAAGATTTTCTTCCTCTATTGACATAACGTTTGTCTATTGCACGTGAAAAAAGTGTGCACAGTTATAGAACTACTTAGTGGTCGATAGAAAATAAATAATAGATGCATTCATGATGTTGCTGCTGCCATCAGTAGTGAGGATCTGCTGCCTAGGCAACCGGCAACAGGCTAATTTATTTGAAAGGAATTTGTGTCAGTAGATCTTAAGGTTTCCTCTACATTTGGTTTCTGGGCAAATATTTATTAACTTGTTGGAATACTTTACTTATTCATGATGCATAGTTGAGTAAATTCCATTAAATGAAGTGGTGGAGAACGTTCGATTGTCCTAATGGAGCAGTAGGTTAATGGTGTTTTGTCGTGCCCCATACTAATTGTGCTTCGTAGTGAGCCTGTACATAATCAATATACGAAATCAATTAATAGTATTGAAGACACGTATTGCTATGAGTTTTATAAAGAAATTCGAAAGGGTATTTTCTTAATTGATTTTCTCTGCAATCGCATTTTCTTTCTCAATCATAATAACTGTTCTATAATAATTATTAATTGAGAAAATGACGCGGGGGGGCCAAATACGGTTATAATTATGAGTACACCTTACCACCAAGTAATCACGACCTAACGATGACGAGTGAACAGGGGTGATAGAGCGTTGAGGAAATCATGAGTTGTCATACAATCGATTTGATATTATTTCATATTTACGAAACCCGTGTCGCATCTGAAGCTAAAAATTGATTTCTGTTTCAAGTACGTGTGAGGTAATTTTTCGATATCATAAATCAGATTGGCAGTCAAAGTTGTTCTAAATTTATTTTGTTTTTAAGTCTACGCCGTTCTAAATTTAATTTTTAGAATTAGTAGCACAGTTTTCTCAAACTTAGAAAATCATATAAAAAATGATCCAAATACAAACACCTGCCTCAAAATGACTCCGTACTCTGAGGCACTTTGTTATTTTTACAAGTTTTGCAACTTTTTACTTGAAAATCGACATTCTTAGTTGTATGCCTTTAAGGGCGAAATATATTTCATGTAAATGATTTTTTATTTATTTTTCTTTCGAGATGTGCTACATGTTAACTTTTTACAAGAAATTGGTCCGAGTAAAAATGGCAATAAGGAATGTCAATTTCTTATTGCCTGTTGTATTGATTTTGAAGTATTGTCATCTAATATTCCGAAACTCTTCCAATTATTTTGCACTCTGAGGGTGATTTGGACATTTTTCCATTTTACTAGCTTTACTATAAAAAAGTACTGGAACAGAAGTCACAATTGTTTTGTAGCACATTAATCGTTATGGGTTCTTCAAGAAGGTGTTGTATAAATTGAGAACCGACATTTCGAGATTCTGCAAATCCCAGAAATTAATGCTTATACAAATCACTACAAATATATGCAAATACTACACCGCATGCTTGTATTTCGATTGATCGGATTTGTTGGAAAAATTAACAACTTGAATTGTGGGCAATTATTTCCGATAACCGATGATCTACTTTTTTTTAACATTTATACAGTTTCTTTGCATTTTTATTGGAAGGATTGCTGCCTGTAAAAAAAAAAACATTTCATTCATTTCGTGCAGCATCTGCTCATTACATTTCTTTTATTATCGTTCGTGAGAACATTGCGCCAGACATTTTTGTGAACGTCGAAGCAAACGTGTGAAGATGACAAGAAAAAAAGAGGAATACAACTTTGTTTGGTTGGATTTTTGGTTGATGGGCACAAGAGAAGACTTCGACGACGACACAGGGCTCGCAAATGTGCAACATATTAAACAAAAATGTTTAAGCAGTCAGTGCTTGTCAGTCATATTTTGCCACCGGAAACGGGCGGTTACCATGTAACGGCCCAACAGCAAATTCACATTTCTGACACTTCTTCGGCGACGATCATTCGTTCGTGTTACATTTTATTAATCTGATATTTCATTAGAAAAGAAAAAGAACGACAAAAAGAAAAGGATTTCATTGCATTGCCCAATAATCTTCGTGTGGGCCGACGTAGCAGTGTCATCATTATTTTGTTGGTTGCCGTATTTGAGCTCAAACATTTTCCATGCTCTGTTGTGTCTGTCGTGCTGCGAGTCGCTATAGTGGTGTTGTCCTTTGTCAGCCGCTTCTCTGCTCTGCAATTTATTTTTTATTTGTCTGCCGTCTTTATTTTTGTCAAAGAGTTATGTGTTACACAAAAGTGGCGTGGGAAAAATATGCGAAAGGCTTGACAGCAGAAGCGACAATCTTTACATGATACTCTCACATGAACAGACTGCCTGGAAGACAGACAGACAGACGGTCGGATGGTTGGACAGACAACGTAACGCAACATAACGATCGACCGATCGTCCAATGAGCAAACTCATAAGACCCGCAATCAACGGCTAAGGAGTTGTGCTGGGCAAAGGAAGTGCTAAATGTTGTTGTCGTCTTTGTTGGTGTTACTGTGTAAATCGCCAGAAGAGCATTTCGATTGTGGATATTTAATATTTCATTGTCGTTTGGGGTTTTGGGTTTTGTATTTTACATTTTTTGCTGCCCTTACGAAAAAAACATCAATGCATACCATGTACCTCTTCTGCCTACTCCAGCGATTGTCCTCTTCAATGAGCGCTCATATGTATACACCCTCCTTCTCCTTCTCCTCCTATTCAATTTTATTTTTGATTCATTTTTGCAATATATGCCGCTGATGTGTTTTTGTTTTTTTTTTTGTTTTGCAATGGCCACACTCTAAAGAATTCGTAATGACGATGAAAAAGGGCATGGCTTCGTTAAATTCATTTGATTTGTGGCCAATTGTTGTTGTCGTCGTCGTGGTTGCTCCTGCCGTGAATACCAGCGTACATGTAAAGTAATTATCCGAAAATTCCTTCGAGTCTGGTTTCGAATGTTCTGTATATTGACTGCGATGCAGTATTCCGATCGTCTGATGGTCTGTGAGAGATGTTGTTTGAAAGAAGAAAAAAAGTACAACACTATTGAAGATCGTTTCTTTGTATTACAATTGGACAACAAAACCCAACAAACTCAAATAAAAATATTCCAGTATCAACGAATTTTTCAAAATCAAATGTATGACTTATAACGATCGGTTAGAACAGGCTTTTACACGTTGTAAAACTAGACCAAATGATAGATTCCATAGGGTAAGCACTTTTGTTGTGTTGTTTGAGCATAGCTCTCCGTAAAACCAAATTCTATAAATCGATAATTTAAAATAGTTTGATTTTCAGATTTTCATAAATAGAAATGGTTCCATATTTGGTATATACATATTTTTAGATCATTTTTATCATTCTTTTAAAAAGTCAATTTAGTAGATATTTATTCTATATGTATACTATTTTGATTTTTGGTATTGTAAACGTTACAAACTGTTATAAATAAGTAGTATAAATCAGTTCTATACTTTTTAGTACTCCATTCGTACATATAAGTACTATTTTAATTTCCCGAACATATCGTACATATATGATAGTTACGTTTTTTCCTTGGTGTATATGATACATAGTTAAATTTTTAATTATTTATACAAATATCTAACTCTTCAATACCGATTGTAGTGTATTTAATATAATATTTAGTACGAATTTGCAAAAAAAAAAATATATATATATATGCCATTTTGTTATCATTGTCGTCGCTCAATACAAATGGTAAACAAATTTGCCCTTCTCAGGTTTGCTGGGCTATGCCACCAAATATTTCCTTCAGCATAATCGCTGCAATCCTTCTTTTGTGATTTGCTTTGCATTCATTCTGATTTTTTTTACATTTTCGGTTTACCACGGAGGAACGACATTGCGTGGCGGTGGTCGCCGCCAATGAACGGCAATGAATTATTTTACATTATTAACAATGCCATTATAGAGACACACTTAGAGCTTCTTCCTTGTGTATACTCCTTCATCCTTTGGTATGTGCCCAAACATTTCGACAGACAGGCCGAGAGACATACAGACAAACAGCTACGTTTAAGAAGCTTCCATTGTGTGTTTAGTGTGCATCAGCAGTTTTTTGTTTAAAGAAATATTTTGTTTTTGGAGATCCGACAAAGAACTTCTTCAGTTCATATAAAAATTTCACTGGAAAAATATATGTCGAGGATCATGCATGCTGTAGAAGAGACACCAGCCACTAACACCTTCTCCAGTATGGCTATTGTGCACTACCACCTACCTATCTACCAACCTTGCTTCCAGCCGAACAAACAGCCAGCCATGCATCCAACCGTGGCCATCAGCAGCCAGATTATTATGTGTTTAGTCTTGTGCGCCTGTGTGAATGTGTAGTTATTTCAGGATGACGATAAATTCCTGAACTTTTCGAAACCGGATTTTCATGCGCCACCTAAAAGGCTTCTTTTGCTCGACCATGTCGACGCATTGTTACGATACGAAATATTAAAAGGTTCAGTTTATGTAAATAAGTCTTTACTGCATGGATTGTTGGTCGGACGGCCGGCCGGCCGATCGATCGTTCCGTTGGTTGGTTGGTTGGTTGAAAGTTTCTCAGCGGCAGAAATTACCGAAAATGAAATGCGACGATTAAAAAAAGCGACAACACCACCGCCACGACGACAAGACAATGACAAGAGCAAAAACATTGGCGGCGACAACTAATCGAATAAGTGATTTTTAAAGGTTTCCATTGAAAGGCTCTCAATTAAGACATAAATTGAGCAAATTTATGCTTAAAAAATGAGTCGAACATCGTCAATGGTTTTTTGTGGCTGTCGTTGTCATTGTCGATGTCGATAGTGCAGAGTCCGTCTTTAGTCCTGCCATTGACAATGATTGGTTTTGCCTAAATGTGTATAAAAAATGAAGAACAGAACGCTGTTATAGGTAAAAGAGAAAAAAGAACACCGAATTCCTACCTTCTTATGCGCTGTTGTTGACAAGGGTGACTTAGTTACCGATACATTTTATTTGAAATCGGACACTTTTAAGCTTCAATTCATTATTTTTTCCTAAATATTACTGTTATTTTTTATTAAAGTGTATTAAAATTAATTTGTTTTTTTTTCGAATATTTTTTTGCAGAACACCACTTCTCAATGTACTCTGCCAGCACCATAGCAGCTTCTTCAATAGCGGCTGCCCTCAGTGGATTGAATTGGCATTTGCGTACGGGTCAAAATTTACGCTATTTACTTAATCTTTTAACTGATTTAACCAGTGTGGAACAGGTAAGATTGGTTAATAATTAAAAAGAATGTGAACAGTCCTCGGTCCTTTGAATCTACACTAATTCAAGAATGTCCATATGAAATCTCAACAACACTTGGAACTTTAAACACATTTTTACGATAACTCAAAAACTAATAATCCGATCGATTTCAAATGTTAGGACGTTCTCTGTGAGTGTATACCAATCGTGAACTAGGATGAATCCAATCGGTCAAGATCTTCCTTATTTTTAACTTGATTTGTGGTAAAAATAGACGATTTTCCAAAAATATTTTTTCAAAGGTCCGCCATTTTATTTAGTCCCTTAAGAAATTTCTAGTTATTCAATTTACATCAAATACCTTCCTTATCCTTACTCCCCTCTCTTTATTTAGCTGGACTATTAATACTCCATCCGAATGATTCATATTCATATTAATGCAAAATGTCCAGACGATTGTCGTTTTTTTTGTTCTTCCCAGGATGTATACACACACGCACACATACATGTAGCATTGATTGCTGCATTGCCTTTGTCCCCAAATGACAATAAATTTGCGACGCTTGCTGTTATTGCTGTTGCATTTAATTAATTTCAATGGCTGTGTTAATTTGCAAATTAATTAATGTCGAGGTCAGCGCCTATGCAGACGACGAAAATATTTGTGCGTATTTTCAGTAGAAGTTCAAGTTTAATTGAGGTTCTAAGAATTGCTCTGCACAAATAATACTTCAATACTGTTAGGGTAGACAAATGTATGGGAAAATCCCATCGGGCGTGTTTTCCCATCGTTTTGATAGAAATTTGCATGTGTATACGAAGGGTTGTTGTTTGTTACTTTATTGTTTTGTGTTCGATGTGCCAAGGAAGTGAAAAGTTATTAATTTCATTTTTGTTATTGTTTTTTTTTTATTTTGCAGGATAATCTTCATGATTGTATGATGCAAATGGAAACAATATTCGAGGAACATAGTCGCAATTTACAACCGTATTTAGGTAGCGTGGAATATGCTGCTCATCAGCAACATCAAAGCAATAATTGTTTGAGTTCATCCGATATCAGTTCGGCGTCAACACTGTCGTCGCCTGGAGATGTTATTACAGTTTCGCCCACCATTGGAAATCAATCTCAATATAACCATAATCAGAGTCATCATCATTATCTTCATAACTATCATGGTTACCACCATGACAGCAAAAGCAACCACCACCAGCAGCAACAACAACAGTACAATCATGTTTATCAGCAGCAGCAACATCACTTCAAATCTCTACATCATCATTCCACAGTGTCCACTTCTATTTCCGCCAACTCACCTTCGTCGTCATCAACAACATCGAACCATGGTGGTGTGGTCAGTGGCAGTGTCACTGCCAATGTCTTATTACCCGATTTAACGCAAACCTGCAAAATGCAGGCTAATGCCCAAAAAGAGGTGCAGGATATAAAATTCTAAGTCGTATATTTAAGTTTTATTTTTTATTATTATTATTATGATTTTTTTTTATCATTTAACAACACAATTTTGTTAATTGTTATGTTTAAGGAACAGTATCAAACAGAACATATTTGAATTTGAAAATCGAATTAAACCCCCCCGAAAAAGAAGGAAACCAGTTTTATTACAATTTCCCACATTTCCTTTCTTTTATATATATTTCTTAAATATTCTTCTTTTGGTGCTTTTGTTAAATTTTGTATAGCATTTTTACAAAAAACTGAATTGTATTTTTTATGTTTTATTATCTCTTTTTTTAAACTGAATTTCTTTTTTTTTTAATTTTGATTTAAAATTCATTGCTACTAAATTAATTAGTAACTTAAAAAACAACAACAACATAATTTTATGTTTATTGTAATTATATTTTTTATACTTCATTACACTACTACATTGATACGGTGCGTACCAAAATAAAATGCATTCTAAATTTTGGCAGCCATATAAATTCTGTATTATATTGTCATTATCAATATTAGCCCTGCTTTTATGCAGGATTGGTATTGGTAATGTCCGTATATGATATGGATAATTTTTACTTGTACATTGGCTTCATTCATTTTTGATTACATTCTGTTACATGTATTCTTTCTGCATATATTTTGGGATATTCTGTACACAATTATCTACTTCTTTAAATCTTTTAAAGATTACCGCACCGCAAAACTTTAAATGTTCGGTTTTTGAATAGGCTGTAAAATGTCATATTTATTATATAAAAATACCTCTTATATATATTTTATAATTTTATATTTAAACCAGAAACAGAAATGAAAAAAACTAAGAAAAAAAACAACTGTAAATATTATATTATCCAAAAACAAAGGAGAACATGTAACCCGCCCTTTAAAAATAAAATCAAAAAAACTTTAATGAAAAAAAAAATAAAATCTTTTGGCTGGCTGCATGAGAAACCAGAAGTAATTATAGACTGAATAAAAAAAGAAACAAGAAACTAAAAATTAAAAAAAACGGTAATAGCATTTTTTAAGATTTTTTATATTATATTCGGAAAAAAAGAAATACACATAAATTTGAAGAAAATAGAAACTATCTACCAACTGAAATCATCTAATTGAATATAAATATATCATAATAAAATTAAGCTTTTATATTTTAAGCAAACAAAAATATAAATAATAACAATAATATCTCTAATTGGTAATAACTTGTTTAAAAAGAAATAAGTGATACTGAAAATTGTCACGATTTCAACAAAACCACAAAACAGTTGGAACATTAAATCCTCGCTCATGTTACCAAACCTCAAATTGGTTGCTCTCAAACAACAAACAAACCAGATGTTAAAAGTAACAACAACAAAAACCTATTATATTAAATATTATTTTAAGATTATAACAAGAAAATAATGTATAAATCCCCAAACACACACACACACAACGATTTAAATGAAATAATGGCAGGGAAATAATTTTGAAACCCTTTTTTCTTAAAAGTTTTTGTGATGAATATTAACAAACAAAAAACAAACCCACATTGTATATACAAATAAAAAATAAGTTTTAAAATCTAAATTTGCCTTGGTGTAAGGCAAACAACAAACGACCAGGTGTTAGGGGGAAGACATCGACATACGCTTTGCCTTAAAACTAACTGACTATACTACTATTAGAAAACAACCCACACGAGACAAAAACAAAATAAAGAAAACAACAACATTTTCGAAATGTTATAATATTTGAGTCGGCTTTAGGCAGAGGAATAATTAAACTCAATACAACAGAATACAGTAAACCAAAGAGATGCTGCACCAACGCTTAAAATAAACAAAACAAAAAACCCACAGCCATAGAAAAAATAACAATCCTAATAATCATCTAATCGTCCTTAAGACTGTTAAAAATTCAATTGCTGCGAAAAACAAGCTCAATTATATCCGAATGGTTAAAAAGTGACAAATATTAATATTGCTCATACATGCAAAATATCGGCTTCAATTGAATTTTAAAAGGCAGTGTAGTTTTTACATGCATATCCCTTTTTTTGTACACACACCCCCAAATTGTTCTTCGAACCAGGGAATTATGCCAGCAAGTAAAATTCGTCTTCAAAAAGCTTTAATATAACACGAGGTCAACACATACAACTCGCATATGCCTGTGTTAAAACAAAGCTGAACTCATTTATTATACATTTTACGATAAACGCTTACACAAAAATACACAATTTAAAGTATAACCAAACTTGTAATATTTAAAAAAGAAAAAAAAAATAATATAAATTAAATTAAGCTAAATATCGCTATATAATGGAAAAAAGAAGAAAAATTAAAACGCTTATTCGCTACAAAAAATTAAAAAAAATATATATATTAAACATCTGTTAAAAAACATATCCTTATAACCACAGTGAGAAAAAAATAAAGAAAACAAAAAATAGCATTTATACTACTATTCATATAATTGTATAAATCACATATAACAATGTTATAATAAACATTATAAAACAAAATATGTTTTAATATATTTTTTATTGTATTTACCATACCATATAACCTTACCTAATATTGTAACTAAAGTTTATACTGCCGCTTTCGATAAGAAATTCATGCAGCAAAATTTATAAAAAAAATCAAGTCGAGAGAAAACAATGTTTAAGCTTTGTAGCATTAAGTAACTTTTGTATTTTTTAAGATTTTAGTCGTTTGTTGGTTGTGTTACCAACCAACCGCTGATATCTCCATTTAATCAACAACAAAGAAATATGTTTTGTCAAAATTGAAATAGTTTAAAGAAATGCTGGGTTTATTATTATTTAAAACAAAAAAACAAGCGTTCTATGTTAACGCCCCCAGTATTGTACATAAAAAACGATGCTTTAATAGATGTGAAGAAAACTGTTTTTATTACAGAAAGGACTGTGTTTTTACTGATGAATTGAAATAAAAGAAACGTTTTCCTCCAATCAATAAAATGCAAATATAAAAAAAAAAACAAAATCCTGTATTGAGTTTTATTGCTATCAAATGGTTGACCTGAAAATTAGCGGTTTTCATGTGTCGTTGTAAAGTGACATAGTAGACCTATTATATATTGTTAATATATAGATCTATTAAAAAAACAAAACAACAATATAGAGTATACTTTACAGCAAGAGTTGCACATGTAATTCTTGTCTGCTAAGCTTCATCACTTGTGAACCTAACTACAACGTCGACGACATTCGGCTTCGATTTCTCTAAATTTAAAATATCATTTTCACAAAATTGCATTTAATTTTTTTAGCTTTAAGAGTTTTTATCTGCTTTTTTATTTTCGAATGTACAATGGTGTCCGATTTGAAGCTACACGTGTTCAATCGCCCCTAGTGACATTACATTTGTTAAATATATGTTCATCTTCAAAATCAGGATGAGAAAATTCCTAGTAAATATCGGTTCTGGAACAATCACCCCTATTCCGTATGTCGACATCACTATTCATTGTCGACATCACTTCGACATTGATTTGGTATTTTGTAACACTTATGCGACTATTTATCGATAATATCAATAAAAAAAAACACACACATCTCTAAAATTGTAATCAGCTGTTTATTTTGTTTGATATTTTTGTTCAAAATGGAGTTTGTTGCCTTCATCGCACTGTGGCACAGGGCATTATGGTACAAGTGTTTGCAAGTTCCAAAAGGAAAGAAGATAGACCCATAATTACGTTTTAATATATACATATAATTAATTGCTGGGTCAATTTATGCATGTCCCTCCGTCCATGTATTATTTTAAACCAGTTACATGCCACCCTTTTTGATCCGAAATTGGTCAAAATCGGTTCAGATTTATATATAGATCCCATATATATTTTGTTATTTACACGAAATTTTGCATAACGTATTTAATAGAGTCTAGAATGACGTATCCTGACAGGTCATGTTTTTTTTAATTTCTTAAAAAAAAAATTGTTCAATCACTTCAGTCGTCAACTAAAATTATGATGAAGAAATCTTCGACATCGTCAAACATTGTTACGGAATACCAAAAATGTTTCAATAGTTACACATAGATTCCTAATCCATTGGTCTGGTAAAGTTGTAAAAATATCATACAACTATTTCAAGGATTAATTTTCAATACTGTCACATTTATTTCACCATTATTATTTCATTTAAATTGTAATAGAAATTCCGATTGCACACGTTTTTATAAATGCAGATTAATTCGTAGCAAAATATTGTTGCGTAGCTTATAAATATTCCGAATTAAAAATGGAATGAAATCGAATGAATATTAACCCGGTCTGAATGAAAAGAAGAACAACACAAGACACCAGGGGAAAGCTTAAATAACCTTGTATCCGATTGGAACAATAATAAATGCAAAAAAACACAAATACACAATAAATAAAATCAATATTTTTAAAGTGCAGTATATACATGTTCATACATGTTTTTGAAATTAATTCATGTGGTTTTCTGTTTTTTTGTTGATGGTATTTTATAGTACTTTAACCTTAATATTCAATAATTTATCAAGAGTGGATTAGATAAATACTTTGTAACTATTAATCAAATTTTCTCTAAAGATATTAATCCGTTACATGGTTAGAATGTAAATCATTACAGGAAATCTGTACAGAATTCTGTGATTTTCGATGTATGGAGTTTAAAAAAATGTATAATTAGAACAATTGCTAGCAATGCATGAACATGGAACACTATACGATCGCTTAGCATATAGACTTGTTTGTACATAAATAATAAATGATATATACAATTCAAGCACACAATGTATTTGTAAACATATATAACATACAAGTATGTATATAAATACAACATTTCACATGGCTTCCACTCTGTGTTTTTGTTTTTTTTTGTTTTTGTGAGTTCTTCATCACGAAATTCCGTGGAAACGATGCGTGATCTATCCTTGGATCCAATTTCAATGATCGAGCTCTTAACATCCTCCGGTTCATTCATTCATTTATTCAGTTATTTTATGCTTAAGTTTGAGTTCCCGGTTTCGTACTGGTTGTTGTTTGTTTGTATCTTAAATTTCATTTCCAAAGGTAGCCACAGCCACAACAGTGTCTACC